TATATCCTTAGTGGGGTCAATCTTAAAACTAAAAAAATTTTCCAACAGAAACAATTTATTAGGTAAAGATTTAACCAGATAAAGTTTAACTAATTCATCCCACTATGTTTTAGTATCATCATGTTTACCAACTTTTCTCAGCACTTAATCAGACAAATGTAAAATAATAGAAGTATATGCAAATTCATCAAATTCTTACTGTTGATCAGCTGTCATAGTTTCAGGATATTCTTGTGTTATTACTTTAACAACTTTTTGTTGAACCAAGAGACCCCTCATTTTTTATTGTCAAATGGGGAAATCTCATTTTCCATAAAAAAAAAAAACACCAAGTTCAAAAGAAATGTTTGTCATTTTCAAAAAACAAGAAATAACACAAAGTACTTCAAAGGTTTTGAAAAAGACTTGACAACTAATCAATCTTGAACAACAGAAGTGCTTTGACCTTCACAAATTTTGGGAGAGTCAAAAGATCACACAATGGTATAATAAAGCAATCAGATAAGAATATCACAATTATGTAAACAGTAGAGACACACAGTCTATCAAAATCAAGTGAACAGAAAACTAATCACAGATTACTATATAAGATGATCAAATTCACCAGGATTTCGTGAGAATCGTATTCTCAGGTCAAGGCTCAATTTGAACATCCCAAGAACAATACAGTATACTTCAATAACAAGTCACACAGATCCAAAAGTTAATAAAAAAATATACCAATTAAGTGAACTTAAACGTGAGAAATGCAGTTAAGACTCATAAAGAGAACACATAATATCACAAAAATAATCAAATCAGTGATATGGGTATAACAGAATGTAAACCAGAGGGTGGTTCATAGAAATTTAACCACTAATCCAACTAAAGATAACAACAGAAACAAATATTATTTTGGTCTAGGGGCCAATCCAAACCAAGATTGGATTCACCTTGGGGTCCAGCCACTAATCGAACCAAGAAATTACCCAGGAATTTTAGATTTTCACTCGAAACAATCGGATTCGTAAGTGAAACTCTCAGATCAAACCAAAACCAAATCTAGGGTTTCATGAAATATCAATCGATCTTGGAACAGAACACAGGAAATTAATTTTCCAAGTTCCAGAACCCGATCGAAGGCAAGAAATCACAAGTATAGTGCTCTGACACCACTCTTATGTACAAAACTCAGATAGAAAATTACAGATCCAAGAAAATACACTTTAACAACTCTACAAATTACCACTGGACACCAAGAATAGTGACCGATTTAGACTCAGATCCTTGTACCCTTCTGTATTATCAAAGAGAGCCGTACACAAACCTTAAACCCTCACAAGTCTCCAACGTGGGGTTGCTTCAATAGACAGATCTAGACTCTAATCACAGATATTGGTTTACTCACATAGAGAAAACACGAATATTTCAGATCTCACCAGGAGAAAATGATCGACTCACACATAGAAGATGAACAGACGAAGAACTCAAAACCCAAAAGGTTCCAAATGGTTGGAGAAAAGAGAGAGAATGAAGAAGTCTCTCAAATTATGGTTAAAGACCCGTATTTATAGTAACGCCACAATCAATCGTTGATCTGTATCTTCATCCAACGGTCCAGAGCAACTCACACACAATTGGGCTGAATATCGGATTTGGGTTGGTGGGTCATCTCAGATAACGTTATTGGGTAATGTTTAGTACTTGGGTCGAAGGCCATTTATCTCATCATTGCCTAAAAAATGGGATGGACTGGCATCACAACCCAACAGAGTAAAAATGTATGTGACCTGGCGTTAGCTTCTCTGACAAGTGTTTCTGATGGTGGGAATTTTGACAAGGCAAGATTTAAGAGCCCACAACATTTTGAGTGCCTTCCCTTATCTGGAAAAACCCAGGGGAGGTAAAAATGGACATTGAAGCTCTGGACACAAAATGGAAATAGAAACATGGCATTCTTTTAATTAGTACAATATCTCTACTTTGACTTTGTTTTACATTCTTTTCAAGATTTATAGGTATTCGTTATAAAACACCATCTCGGGTAAACCATAAAGAGGGAATAAATATGCTCCTCATGGGGTGGCCAAGTTGGTGGAGTAAATGACTGCGGAGCCTTTGGTCACGAATTTGATTCCTCCTACCAATACTTTCTCGGTCGAATCTATACCACCGGATTTGCCTAGGGCTGGACATGGTCTGGTTCGGTTCTAATGAGAACCGAACCGACCCGAAATTTTCGGGTATTTAGTAAGTGGAATCGTCGGGTCCAAATTTAATTACGGAACCGTTCGGGTTCGGTTCCATTCGGTTCGGTTCGATCCGGTTCGGTTCCGTATTATAATTAAATTTTTTAATATATACAAAATTACGTTAATTTAATTAATGATATATTTAATATTAGCTCTTACAAAATCACGTAGTTCAATTTTATATGTTTCACGTCTATCTTTGTTGAATTCTTCATAAATTTGATTATTAAAATCACAGAAAGAGAAAGATAGCGAGCTCAAAATAATTAAGAGAGATGTTATAGAGTTTTAATTCGATTTTCTATGGTAGAAATGACACTACAGTAGAATAACAGATTTGGATAAAATTGAGGTCAATTTCATTAAGTCGATTTTGAACTGAATATTAGAAATTGGAAAATCATATTTTGTAGTTTGAACTAAATTAACTAGTTAACAAATTTATTTAGAAAAAATAAAATAATTTTACTTATTTAAAATAAATTAATTAAAAAATTACGGAGATTCGGTTCTTATTCAGTTCTTCGGGTCTTGGCCTAGAACTGAGAATCGAACCATATCCGTCGGTTCTTGATTCAAATACCCGTTCGGGTATTTAATTTGAGAAGAACCGTCGGGTTCGGTTCTGTTCGGTTCGGGTTCGGTTCGGTCCGGTCGGTTCGGTTCGGGAGTTTTGTCCAGCCCTAGATTTGCCTAGTGCGGTTTACTTGGTTGGCATAGTTTGTAAGCTATTACGTCAACTTGAGGATTTATCCAATGAGCACTGTAAAGGTAACGGTTGCGATTTTCCCGTAAAAAAAAAAAGGGAATAAATATAAAATTGTAATAATTTTGTTCAACAAAGATCGCATTTGAACCGTAACATCTTTTTTGCACTAATTTAAAGATGTCCAACTGGTTTTCAATAATGCTAAAATTTCGTCCATACGGCACATTACTTTGGGTTTCTCAATTAACAACCAAACAATAACAAAGCAATGGAAGACTAAATCATTTGATTATACTACACTACCAGCAAACAAGATAAGCTTTTGAAACTAGAAATGAATAATTACTTGGATGTCCATTTCAATAATACCTTACTTTTCGTTTTACAATATGTATTTAATTTATTTAACCATTTAATTACCATCAATTAATTAGTATTCATATTCATTTACGCATTTCAGTATTATTAATTCTAATTATAAGTTAACTAGAATTTCACATTCAAAAATGCATTTTATTATCACATCCATATATGTTAATTAACATCCTTTTTTACTTAATTGGAAATTAAATAACATTTATTGTCACGTATATATTTCCTTATATTAAGTCTAAATAAATTAACATTCATATATATTCAAATATTATTTTTACATCAATTATAAAGCATTTCATAATAATGTACAACGCTCGAATTGTAGTTGAAGATTGTGAGTACTTTGCAAAGTTAGCAGATTAAAATGTTCTTATGATGAAAAATGGACTACCTTCATTTTATTTTTTTCGCGGTTAGATGTCACTTCGTCGGACTTCAACCAAGTAACTAATCATTATGTGGAATATCGAGAAATAGCAAAAAGTGGGTAAGACTACAATATTAGGATAGGATGTCAATCAAAGTAACTAACATTTAATTTTCTTGGAATATCCGATGACTAAAGAGAAAGCAAAGGTTGTGATAATGACAAATGATGGTTATTCCTCCCGTGGGGCTTTTTTGGCTTTGGAATTTCAACAGAAACCTGCCATAACACACACATAGAGGGTGAATGGAGATATTTTTTGACAATTTTTTATTCACGATGAGTCCGACACAAGAAAATAATCTGGCCAAATTCTGTAGAAAATTTTCTATACAAATGACTTAATACTTGGGATTTTGGAGTGTGTGTTGAATTCTAGTCCGAAACAAGTACGGGAAGCATGTATATATTCCCAGTTTGTCGGTGAAGAATTAGATAGATTGGTTGTTTCAGTTCTTTCTTCAGCAAGAGGAATTGCCGCCAAAATTTCGCCAAATGCTGCCATGGTTTGCCTGTCTCTTTTATTTATTTATTTACTTATTTTTTATTTTTATTTTTTGCCATTATTCAACAGATTGCTGACAAATATCATTTGTATTAATTCTAACAACCATTTTTTGTACATATAGCAAAGATCTTTCTTTGAATCTGTGGAGCGCAGTCAGCTCAGAATTTGAAATCGTACTTGCGAGAAATGACATAAATCTCCTGGAATACAGCATGCATAACAGGAATTTTTTGCTATTATAATAATATAATTTAATTTAGACACCGTCTTCCTTTAGTCTGGTATACATCCCTTCGTAATATCTCTCAGTGACAAAGGGGAGGGCGGATAGGATTCACCGCGACAGTGTGCAGAGTTCGATTCCCCACAAGGTGAAATTGACTTTGTTGCAAGCGGGAGTTACCATATAGGTTAACAGCCTTGGCCTATCTATGTGCTCTCCACCCTGGCTCTTGAGAGGCACATCCTGCGATTTACTTCCTCCACGATGGCCAAGGGCAGGGTCGGTAGGGGCCCTTAAGGTTGGAGTTCAACCTTTTACATCCCTTCGTAATCTTTTCGTGATTGAATAATGTATCTCATCTTGTTTTAACATGACATCAAAGCAAATCTTGTTTTCAACATGATATCAAAACAAATATGGGCCGTGTCTTAAATTAAACAAAATTAGTATGGGAAAATATTCACCCGTGCTTGGTCTGAGAATCATTCCGTCCTTTCCTCGTATAGAAGAACTTTGCCAAATTTAAATAAACGAAGACCAAACAAACATGAAATTATAAGAAAAAGAAGGGTTACATCATTGCTTTGAAGTCCCAGCGGCACTGACGTGCGTAGCATGACTCCGTTATCTTCAGAATTAGGGGTGCACAACACATACAAACTAAATATCTTGAAAGCAAAACAAATTGAAATATTCAATCCAACCAATTTGAGGTATTATATGCTTGGGAGGTAAAGAAATGAAAAGTTGATTTATATGATTCGATTTGCAAAATTTGAAGCAACTGATACTCAGTAGAGAGAACCATAGAACGATGCAGAAAATGTGGGCACATCACAATTAGTAAACAGAACCGGACTGGCTGAATTAATTTAAAATTAATGACCAGACCAACCAGTAACGAGCAACATCAGAACCTGTGTAGATCAATCATCCGTGCCAAAATAACGATCCCCAAATTCTCCCATACCCGGTATCACGCGAAATTCTTCATTCAGTGACGCATCAATCTCTGATGTCACAATTTTTAAAGAGGGGAAACGTTTACAAACACAGTGTATTCCCTCTGGTGCCTATATTCAAACATAAAGCAAAATCAGGAGTGAGAACATGTGGCAAATACTGTCAAAAGAAGGGAGTAAAAGGTGTCTCCTTCAAAAAAGTTATAGAAAGCACTCACGGAGATGAGGTTTAGGAAAATAATATGGGATTCTGGAACACCTTTCTGTATGAGTAACTCAATTGCCTGATTAGCAGAGTTACCTTCAACAAAAAATTAACGATAAGTTGAATCTAATATCATAAAAGAAATGAGGGAAGTATAGCCTCGATGGCTGCAAATCAGAAAATACAGAAAGGAAGTTAGAAGCCGCCCTAGTGCTAGAAGATTAATTTTCCATGCTACTCCGAATGAGAAAATCTGGCTACCTGTAGCAAGGACTGGATCTAGGAGGAGGACATGGCGTTCTGAAATATCTTTTGGAAGTTTTTCATATATAAGCTGTTTAAATAGGCAAACAAAGGGATGAAACATTACACATTCAATCATAAACTATTGCAACATGAAACCATTGTAGAAGGCTCCCATCATAGAAAACAAGTGAAATATCACCTGTTTCCCATTGTCACCATCACGGTGGATCAGGATTTTCCCGATTTTAATTCCTTTGCAACAAGCACGCAGAGCATTTTCCATACTTTCACCACTGCAATTGGTAAAGACACCAAAAAATCCATACAGAAAATGAGTTAACACCTTTCAACTAACAAAAAAATGGTAAAAAGCTACCCAAGAAGAAAAAATAGTAGAAGGATAGAAATTTAGTAAACCTATGAAGTAAAATATCCCAACCCCAACTCATGTTACAAATCAAAATTTAGATGACAGGGAGTTGAAGAGTGAAATTTTGAAAAACTACTGATATTTTAAATATTAAATATGTTTCCTTGAAGAATCCAATAAAACCTTTTCTTCTAATAAGTAAATCAACATTAATAAAACCACAGTCGCATTTTACTGAGACCTGACTACTTCCTCACCTTCGAACAATGGAAACTCCACACAATTTCTTGCAAAAGTCAACACCAGTATATAACGACCCTGCAGTAGAATCCCGCAAAAATTCAAATATCAGCAAGTTCTATGCTTAGCAGGTTTTGAGAATGCAAACAAACTGGTGCACACATCAGTGTTGGAGTGCACAGTCACAGAGCAGGAGGTTGGCTGGGTAGGTTAGGAAGGGTTGAAAATGAGTCGAGGAAAATGGTTTACAACCAATCGTCCCATTAAACATGCAGGTTAAAAAAATGGTTCAAATATAGCTTGTTCCAAACTAATTTGTCACACAGATACACATTATACCCACTTCTTTTACAGTATAAATCTAAATTACACGAGGAATTTAGTCATCACATCTGGTAGATATTCAGGGAAATGTGCCAAAATCATAGAAATTGAGGATCACAACGACAAAGGAGAAAATACAAACGAAGTCTTATTTCAAATAAAATTGCATGTAATCTTATTTCTATCATGTTATAAGCAAGATTTGTTGAAGTCTCCAGGCAGGACAATCATGATAGTGATTCTTTGCTAAAAGATAAACTTCAATGAGAGAATCTGCAAACCAAGCTAGAGATGAAAATTTTGAACGTAGAAAATAAATAGAAGAATAATAAAAAATCGAGCGCATGCTTCCCCGAGAATACACTTATTTAGCATACCTGTTGGAGTAAATATTTGCTTTTCAGTGAAGGGTAAATGACCAAGACCATGCTCCACAACCTGAAATGCCACTTATCAAAACCTTCCATGTTTGGAAAATCTAGTGAATTTGTACTTTTGACATGATTAGGATAGATAAAAATTTACCAGACGAATAAGCCTGTCAGAATAGAATACAAAGTCATGTTTCGATATATCTTGATCACGAATCAGGGTATGCATGCCTCTTATCTGTAGACGTCCAGAGCAAGCATAATTAATTATTGTTCTGGAGAGCTGAAAAGAGAACAAAGTTGAATAGACTGAAGATTAAACTGTAATGACTGAAATTTTCAAAAATAAAAATTCCACTCCTATAGTGTCATCATGAGAATAAAGAGAGGACCATACTAACACAAGCTTTTAACGTTCAGTCACTGTATTTTATCTTTTTCTTGTTTTACATTTGCCACAGCACCATTGTAAAGAAAGTAACCTTTCATGTACTTCCATCATTAAACAGTTATTAATATTTTGCACAACCTGACATAATATAAATGTACCTATATATCACTTCTTTCGTTTCCCCTTCCCACCAAATGCTGTTGCAAAATACATAATTTTCATGCTAGTTTCTTTGGTTAATTAAAAACTGAACATGAAAACTCAATCATGAAAAAAGTACCAAGGCATACCTGGAACGTCGACTGAATAACATACACATTGGGATATATCTTACAAAGGTCATGCTGGCCAAGCTTTGTGTGAATATGTTGCACAATCAAATCGATTGCAACATGATTATCACCGCCCCGGGGTATGATAACATCAGCATATTTCTTTGATGGCAGAACAAAATCATCAAAAGCCGGTTTGACAAACTTTGCATACTGCAGCCCAAAACATAGAACTTACCATAAACATATGCTATAAGGTGGCTGGACTTATAGACGAAATAATCTTGACGCATCTCAAGCAGAAATTCAAAAGTTGATACATCATTCATATGGTCTACCAACTATAACCATGGAGAATGATAAAATAAAAATGTCTGAAAAAATCTATTAAAGTGAAAAAAATCTATTAAGGAAAAAACTAGCAGATGACTAGAAAGCGTAGAGTTCTTTAAGTTATCCCTTATACTTTTTAGTACATTGAGAATGAATTGAACATCAAATGGGGATATGCCATAACATGAAAACTGTCTTGATACATCTAATAACCAGAAAGAAACAGATCTCTGGTACATGGATTTACTGATTAAGAAAAAAAAAGGGGGTTTTTAAGAAAGAAGAAGCTTGCCTGTTCAAGAACTGAATTTATGTCCCTACCCCTCTCTACTGTATCACGCCGTATTCTACGAGCAAGCCTCACATCAGCATCTAAATCAATCAATTGTTATGGTATAAAAAATTGAGAAAGGGACAAGAGATGATTACTAGAAACACAAAGAAGTAAATCATTAATGAGAGAAATCGAGAAAAAAGGGACAAAATATGATTACTAACGTGAATACTCGTTAATCCATATCCGAATTCTCAAGGGAGAGAAGGCTTGTATCTAAGCTGCTCCATGAGAAGAGGATAACTGGAAGAGAATATCCAACTTCAAATAACCCATATGTTTGCATTCAGATCTTAGTTCAATTTTCAGGCCTCCCTAAAGTGAACACTTGTTAACACCTGAATGCTCTATATATACATCTCATCAGAGAACAAACTAACTACTCTCTCCCTGACCCCTTTCCTTCCAACCTTGCAACTGCTTCTCCCTACCACGCTAAACAAAACTACCACCATCCTTCCAAAATTATAAAATGCAAAACCACAGTAACCACAACCTGAGGTCTCTTAATGCTGCTAACATCAATCTAATATCCAATCTCAACTCCTATTACCAATCTCAGAACACGATTTGTGGTTTCTAACTATCTCATTTTAAAGAAAATTGGACTTATTAAGAGAGAAGCTGATGACTAACTCCAACTTCTTTTGAAATATAACAAAATAAAATTAGATGGATCAATACACAGCTAAGTTCAACCTGTGTCAACAAAAATCTTCATGTTCATTAAGTTCCGCACACGCTGATCATGGAAGACAAGGATCCCCTCCAAGATGATTACATCAGAGGCATTCACCTAACAAAGTTTTTAAGTCAGTACTTTTGATAGCTATTAAATGGAGATTCAGCAGAACATCAACAATAGCAGACCAACAGTATTGTTCTCCCACAATCCCATCCCCTCCTTTTCCCTGAAGAAAGCCACAACTCCCAACACAGACAAAGATTATAAGCCTGAGATTTTCTTAAGCAAAAGTATATTAGCACGACGCCACAAAATCAGAAAACACTGATGCGCAAGTAACTATCATAATTATAAATCGATGCAAATTGGTCATCAGTTCATAACAATCATTTAGTATGGGTAGCAAAAAACACATGATAGTCAGAGACCAAATACAGATTCAAATATTCGAAATTACTAGGATAATAAAGAGACAGAAGAGACTAAATTCAAAATTAACCATTTTATTTTTTTCATTTCATTCCCAATTTACTCAAAGATTCCAAACTGCAAAGGTGGCTAACCAGGTGACCTTTCCCACAAGTCTCACAAACATGCTGCAATAGCTCTATGATAGAATCCAAATCAAGCTATTCAAAAGATTCCAAGATGACAAATAATTTCAAGAGATCTTCATAACAGTAGACAGTCCTCCCAACTTGCGCATTTCACCATTATTAATCTTTCCTAGGAATTAAGAATATTTTCACAACATAGGAAATGTGAAAAAGAATAGTTGATTCCTCATCTAGTTTCTAATTAATAATATGAAATATTGAATTTGTAACTCCAAAAGTTTGCGACATCTCACTCTTCCTGAAGCTGATATAAAATATTTACCTGTCTGAAGCTGTTTGAAGACCGCTGATGTGTTTTAAAATCATACATTGGGACATGTACAGAATGACCATTCTTTAGCTCATTAACGCACTCAAGGAGCTGCTCTGTGTCAAATGCATCTGCAGGTAGATTGTTTCACGATTGTTAGCAAAAAATAATTTTTCCCATGAATCCCAATAACAGCAAAACCAGTTTGAAAAGCAGAAACAAATCAGCTTGATTGGGAGACCCAAGCTCAAAATTCTAAGTTACCTGGATGATCAAAATTATATTCATGAACTCGTTGCAACTCTTCAGGAGTCAAGCCACGATAGAAAGAATCCTACACATGTAACAGGGTAAAATAAGGAAATTTTGCTAAAAAATGTGCATAAATTACAGTAAAATAGACACGCGTATAGAAAAAACAGCTGAACAGCTAAATTCTCATCAACATATTGTTCATTTCCTTGCTGCAGTTTAAGAAGGCAGAGAATAGACATGATATACCAATTTCAAAACTGCCAGCTATTGTTAATCCTAGTCCTGCCCTTTTGACGGAGCAGCCCATAATTCTAAGTGAATACTTGAGGTAAAATTGCATTGTAAAGTTACGATGCTTTTAACAGCATTTCAGAGATACCCTAATCCCCTGCTTTAACATCCAACCGTTATCAGGAGATGCCATCCAAAGGGAGTGGAAACATTGCAACTTTAGTCGAATCGGGTTTGGACATCCAGCATTTACAGAAATCGGCCAAAAGATTATAAAAGAAAATAAAAGAAAAGCAAAAACAACCACCACCAGCACAAACCTGGTTAACAAGCACGACACGATGATCATGAAGTTGTTGAATAATCATGTCACAGACTGTTGTCTTCCCGGATGCCGTACCGCCCGAAACCCCTACTCCACCAAAAAATAAATAAATCACCGAGAAAGAAGAACCCTAAGAATTTCGAATATCGAATTATGAGAAAATAAAGAAAAAATAGGCTAAGCCCGTCGCCATCAACCTATCTCGAATAAAACCGACGGCTATTCAGGTCGGGTTGGAAAACTAGTTCAAACATGAAGTACTAGTGAGAATCAAATTACCTATGACGAATGGCTGCTTGAGGACAGAGGAATCGGTAAGGGGAGTGGAAAAAGCGGGAGTAGTAGGAGTGGAGGAAGAACGTGGAGAAGATGAACTAGCGGCTGCAGACATGAGGCCGTCAAGGCGGAGGCCAGAGAAGTGTGGGCCGGACGCCGCCTCCATCACGTAATCGATTTCCTTCGTTTCCGCCAGCATCGTCTCCGTCACTGCACGGATTTGTGTAAAACGGAATTGTTTACCGGTTCGTTAGGTTTTTGATTCGTGGTTTTACAACTGAAATCGCGTGTTAATTTATAAGTTGCCTGCATCTCCAAAAGACTATTTGATTTTGACCCAATTTCCACTTTATGTTATGCATCTTTTTTAAATTTAGAAAGCAACTCTAACAAGTTCCTTACTTTGATTTTTTATTTTATTTTTTCAGTGAATATTTAATAATTTTATCACATATTTTATTTAAGTATAATTTTTTATATATTAATAACCAATCAATTCAAATGTAATTTGAAAATTTTAAATTGTAGAGTATTGAAATTTGTAATGTATTAAATGTAATAATTGCACATTAAGAATAAAGATTGAGTTTAGCTCTCTAAATTTGGAGAGTCAAATACACTCTCTATTTTAAAAGGTTGAAATAGAGTCTCTTGAAATCCATTTTTAAGTATTGACTCTCCAAAATAGAGAATATTTTATGTTTAATAAAGCTTTTGGAAATGCTTTTATAGTAAGAATATATCACCAGTAAAACTAACATACTTGAAAAAAAAAACAAAAAGAAGAAGAACAAAGAGATAAAGGTTGGTGCTTTAATAGGGATGTCAATCGAGTTCGTTGACTCGGATCGTCCACAACTTGGCTCGAAAAAAGCTCAAACTGGCCCGAGACTCGAGCTCATGCCTTAAAAAAAAATGATCGAAGCTGCCAAAAATTAAGGTAGCTAAGTACCTTATATTTAAAAAAAAATAATAAGAGGCCCGAGACTCGAGCTCATGCCTTAAAAAAAAATGATCGAAGCTGCCAAAAATTAAGGTAGCTAAGTACCTTATATTTAAAAAAAAAAAAAAAGAGAGAGAGAGAGAGAGAGAGAGAGAAACGAGCCTGTCCGAGCTAAACTCGCAAAAAAATTCGAATCATTTTACCCGAGCCTTGAATTTCAACTCTCGAATCGGCTCAACTTGACTCATTGACACCACTATGCTTTAAGAATATGCTATTATTCGATTCGTCAATTATATAACGTATTTGGAATTTTTGCCAAATACAAATACTGCTGATTTCATAATAATTAATGAATTAATTCGAGCACATTTTTGTTATTTATTTCTTATTTTAATTGATAACTATATTTAGCGAAATAATCAAAAAGAGAAGCAAGAAAAGTATGGATCCATTTGGCTTGAATTCTTAGAACTCAAGAGGAAATTTTGAAATGTTCGATTAATTCTATAAAACATTAGATGAAATTGGTCTAAACTCTTTCAAAAGAGGAAATCTTTTAAAAATTAATTTCTTAACACCAGTAATGTAGTTTTTTGAAAAATTTCTTTTAAAAGAAGCAATAACACTACCAAAAATATCTTATATGGATTATCCCTCACATAAATTTAGAACCAGTTTGGTCCCATTATTTCACATTATAATAAGAGGAGTAGTAATTTTTTTGAAAATGTGTAATTAAAATAGAATGAATAATTTTTGAGTTTACGTATAATATTATTTTATTGGAGAATGTGTGGTTAATAAGAAGAGAGAAAAAAAATTATAATTTAATGTGCGCAAAGCCATTTTTAAATAGATTTTTAATAGATTTTAATAAAAATATGTTGTTGAAAATTTGTAGATCCCTTAAAATGCATTATTAAAATTAAGTCCCTATTTATCTCTCATTCTTTTTACTACATACTCATTTTTAATCACCTTTCGCATAATAAAATATTTTACACGTAAACTTAAAACTTTTCACCACTTTTTAATCACAAATTCTCCAAAATTTAACTATTTAAAACAATGATATATATCACCAAACCGGGGCAAATTATTCACTTTGACTTGATATTTATTTTGAATTTAATTCAAAACCAAATAGGGGCTTTAGTTGACACTAAGGGAAGAATTTCGGAATGTTGGCTCTAGCCATATAAATAATGCCAAAATTTATATTCTCTTCGTCTCATAAAAAAATACACTTATTTTTATTCTTACATAGATTATGAAAATGTAATTGATATAATTAAAAAATATAAATTTTACTTACATTTTTTCGAATATACCTTTATATTGAATAATGATTGAATATGAGTAGTTTATATTTATTGATAAGAAGACAAATTAAGAATCATTAAAGCAAATCTCTATTTTTTTCCTCAAACTTATTTTCAACCACATATTCTAATAATAAAATATTTTGTACGTAAATTTTAAAAAAAATTCTAACTTTTTAATCACACATTCTCTAAAAGATCACTACTTCAAAACTCATTTTAATGGTTGTCAAATGGGGGCTAAACAGGTGAAATCAACTATACTCTCTACAAGGAAAATGACTTATAATTTGAAACTGACAACAAATGAAAACAAATACATCTTTATGAAACGGAGAGAGTAACATAGTAAATTCACTCATCACACAGCACCACGGGTTGCTCACCTTCTTCTTCCATTCATTAAAGGTACGATTTAAACGAAACCTTGGAATAATACATTCTGCAGACTTCATGAATTTTTACTTCGCTCTAATAAGAGCAACATTAGGAGTTCTTTCACTTATATATCCAGAGTAAGAACCAAAAGCGTGAGCGGTTCCACTAGCTGATTTTGATGGTGGGATGAGGTTTGCCTCGGCTTTGGTTTTTGAATGAACCCCAATTTTGTTACCTGCAACATTTTGGCTCATCTTCATCATGACCAACCCGTAACCTGTCTTGAAAGAGTTGAGAAAGTCTCTTTTTCTTATCTAAATGAGATTCTTCAAGTGCTGAACTCGGAGTTCCCTCTAGTACAAGATCTCTATTTACATGAGGGATTCCCATAGAAAATCTGCTGTACACTAGAGTGCTTCCACAGGATAGGCAAAATCTGCATTTAGATCAACAGAGGAACTCGTCAAAATGTAGTGAATAAAGATACAATCTTGGCAAGCCATTGGGTACACTTTCACCAAGATTCCTCATAGTTATTGATATGGCAGTTGTTGGACAAAAGCTTTTCATAATTAGACTCGTTGCATTTCTCCTTGTTTCTAACTATAAGGTTCCAGAAACAATAGAATCAATGTTTACCTCATTAGAAAAGCTAGCTTTGTACCAGTTGTCAATACCAACGTGCTTATTAGCCAATCAACTGAACAAGAATCTAGAATCCACCACTTGTTTTCACGCATATTGGTGGCACGTGGAGAAAGTTTATAAGAAAATTCTAGTATCGAGAATGTGTCTTGGTACTTACCACCTTTGACAGTAAAGAAATCATCGACACGGTTGGACTCTAACCAAGGTTGGGAATCAAAGAAGGTTTCATCTTTACTACATGCAAGAAATTGGCATGCCTCAGATACAATCACATATCTCACTTAACAAACTATTAACATAGCTCAACATTATCATGCTAGCATCATTCGATGAAATTTATCAGAAAATCGATTATGTTGGAATAAAGCCATTGAATAAAAATACTACCGTTCCCACTATTGTCTTATCTACATTTCCCGTTCTGAGACTAAGCATTGCGAATTCGTTTTTGTTGCATGCAATTATACAAAGGATAACTAAGAATAAGCACAAGACTACATAGTCAGAATGAAACAAATACAAAATTGTATTGAATTCTTAGGAATCAGGATTGGGTACCTTTTGGGGCAGGAGGATTAATATTTTGAATAATGCTATTCATAGTGAAAACTATCGACAATGGCGCTACGTAGCATACTCATAGCAGTTTATTATTTAATTCACGTGGCAATTTGCACGCAACATATAGCGACTATTGGTAGTCTTCACAGGGGCAGAAGCAAACAATTTTAGTTATGGGACACAATCAAATTTTGTACGAATCGAATACTTTGTTTTTTATTTTTGAATAATTTATATTCGCCTCGAAAAAATACAGATTTACATTTAAAAAACATTTTTTCATTAATATTTTCCTCACCATTTTCATCTATTTGATTTTGAACAATTATTTTATTAATATTTTGCTAAAAGATTTATAGTGCATTTAATATAAGCAATCAATTCAAGTGAGCTATCATATCATCCCATAATTTTCCATGCATTGATGATTTATCGAGCAAGATGCTACATAGCTTTAGTTATTTTTAATTTCTAATTGCCAGTGAGGCATGGACCAGGCTCTTAAGAGGATGGTGACAAATATGAAATATGGTGAGTAAGTGTTTCGCACCGGTAGTCGCTAACAATTAAAAAGGGATCAGACGATTGTATAAGAAACAAACCTCTTGAGACAAAGTCCCAAAAAGGGGTGTTTTATTGACGATGACTTTACAATTGGAACTAAACAGAATGCCTCCAAGGTGCGCAAGCACACGAGTATTGAAAAGACATGTTTTAAGTCTAAACTGAAAAATTGAAATTACATATTCTTTGTTTGAGAGTGTTTGATTCGGGATCCTTTGCTCTATGTCTTCTCTTCCTTTTATATTCCCTTGATAACTTATTCGTGATCAACCGCTTAGAAATAGCTTGATTGTTTTATAACTACCCACTTTCTTTATGGTGGCTAACTTGTCGTGGAACTGCCGTCTCTAACTGTTGCCACTACTCTTTGTCGTTCAACGGTCTTCAACTGAACTCCTTGAATCGTTGAACGTGATAAGGTTACTCGATAACTGCTTCAATAACTGCACTTCTGGATAACCATAATATCTTATGTTTGCTAAGATCCTGGGCGATTCGAAGGTTTGGACAAGAACAGGATCATAGCTCTGGGCGACTGTAAGGCACTTCATTCGCTCAGATCTTGGGCGTCTTGCAAGTTTGGGCGATGATGTTACTGTGTTCGTGGGCTTCTACTACATTCATTAATAACCCTATCTGGGCCCTTATCCTGAATTGCCCAGTTGGGCTTCATTCTTTAGGCTATTTGATTTGGGGATTCCTCAGTTGGGCTTCATTCCCTGGGCTATTCGATTTGGGTTGCACTTTTAGCGTGTTAACAATTACCCCCCAATATGGTAGAATTAATTCCAATTATTAATCTTTGTCATATTTACTTTGTGTTTCCCAACAACATTTGAAATTCCCAAGAATTTCAATCATTATTTCCTTCCATAGCCTGAAAAAGTGCGACGCTATAAACCCTTAT